ACACCACTCTAATCTCTTTTAATTTCAGAAAACATAAGAATAGTATATATCATATATAAAATTTTATACATCTTAATTGCTCTGGATCTCTTCAGAAAACCTTGATAAAACTCAAGGTCTAGTGGAAGAGTTATTCCAGGACATTCGAAACACTGACAAGAGTATTCCAAGATTTCCTGGTCAGCCGTGTACTCTAGACCATTTGCAGGTTTTTGCTCCTTATTTCAGTTATTGTATTTTTATACTGGATGAAGATAAATTCATGCTAAAATGTTGCTAAGGTGGTATTTTTTTCCCATTGGTCTTAGGTTCTTGTGAAGGCTGTTCCCACAAGGCAGGGTCACGAACTTACTGTTTCATGGCCTGTAACTCCTAGCATACATCATTATGAAGAAGCACCATGCAAGTACATTTCTCGCCTAATTGGTCATGAAGGCGAAGGAAGTTTGTTTCATGCCTTCAAAATATTGGGTAGGTTTTCTTTGGGCCAAAGTGAAAGTTTTGAAATGTTATTCTAGTCTTCAGTTAGCTCTCTCTTTCTGGCTTGTTTAGTTAACATAAGCTGCTCAATTGCTTGTTTACATAATTTTTGTGATACAGACCTTTGTATCAGCAAGCAGTTTTGCATTTAGTAATCTCTTGCCTTATGTTTATTAATACTTCCACAGGTTGGGCAACGAGACTGCATGCGGGTGAAACAGGGTGGACTATGGAGTATTCGTTCTTCAATGTTACGATTGCTCTTACTGATGCTGGCCATGGTGGGTTTCTGTATTCTTTCGTGTTTTTTTATAATATTCTACAGAAGCTTGTAACTATCTTTTTTTTGTCTGTTGAAAAGATGGTTTCAGTGTCTTCATGTTTTAGTCAGTACTTGACATTTTCTGGATTTGTTTCTTTACTTGGTATACAGAACATATGCAAGATATTTTAGGATTGTTGTTCAGACACATTAATCTTGTACAACAGTCTGGTATTTCCCAATGGATTTTCGATGAGGTATTGGTATTATTAAGCTGTACAAATTCTATGACTTCTGTATTCCTATTGATGCAGTGTTCTTATAGAGCTTGATATCTCTGTTATTGTTGCTAATAGCTCTCAGCTATCTGTGAGGCAGAGTTTCACTATCAAGCCAAAACACAGCCAATGTCTTATGCAATAAATATTTCATCGAAAATGACGGTAATAGTATTTTTCAGCTGTCCAATCTACTTATCATACCTTTCCTGTCATTTAATCCAATTATGCTTCAGATGTACCCAACCAAACATTGGCTGGTAGGATCATCACTGCCTTGGAAATTTAATCCAGCTAGTGTGGAAAAGGTTCTCAATGAGCTTTCTCCCAAAAATGTTCGGTAAGTCTATGTTCCTGGAATGCCTTGCTGCCTAGTATTATTTAAATGCCTTATAAACCAAGCTAAAATTGTATTTGTCTCATTTATTCTGAGGACGGTGCTAAATATTTCCATTGCTATCAAGCCATATGATCTCTAATTTAAGTAGTTCAAGCATTGAAATGCTGACGAAATGCTGACTACTCATGGCTAGATGTTATATTTTGTAGAATCTTTTGGGCATCATATAAATTTGAAGGACAAACTGACAAGGTTGAGCCATGGTATAACACTGCTTATTCTCTTGAGAAGATAACCAAATTCACCATTCAGGTTGGCTTTTGATGTATTAATTTTCTAAATATCCATTCAATATTTTTCTATTACTCTGGAGGAAGTTCAGTTTTGGTTTGTGCTTAACAATTTACAGGAGTGGGTGCAGTCTGCTCCTGAAGTAAAGCTGCAGCTACCAACACCAAATGTCTACATTCCTACGGACTTTTCATTAAAGGATGTTAAGGATAAGGTTCAGTTCCATCACTCTAGCTACAATTTACAATTGTCTTTTTATAATAATGTAAGGAGCAGTGTCACAAAATCAATGATCTGGAACAGGACATCTTTCCTGTTTTGTTGAGAAAGACAACATTCTCAAGATTGTGGTATAAGCCTGATACAAAGTTCTTAAGACCAAAGGCATATATTAAGATGGATTTCAACTGCCCCCTTGCACTCAGCTCTCCGGACGCTGTAGTTCTTTCAAATATTTTTGTTCGGCTGCTGGAGGACTATTTGAATGAATACGGTAAGATTTGATTTTGATAGACCTCTTATGCTTTAGATTGCATTTGACATATGTTGTAATGAAGAGGGAAGTAAAACTAGAGTAAGGTGATAAGCCTGTTTAGTTTGTTATTACATCAAGAAAACTACTGTTTCATCAATCTATAGTTCTATGTTTCAGCTTATTATGCTCATATTGCTGGTCTTCGCTATGGGCTAAGTCTTTCGGACAATGGTTTTGAGGTACGTTTGAACAAGGATGCTGACGTTTCCTTGTGCATTTTGCTCAATAAATTTCATGTGTGACTAACAGTTTCTCATTTCCAGCTCTATCTTGTTGGCTTTAATCACAAATTGAGGATCTTGCTGGAAGCTATCATTCAAAAGATGGCAAAATTCGAAGTTAAACCTGATAGGTTTTCTGTTATCAAGGTAACCTTATTAGTAGATCTTATCCAATAGGCGCACTGTACCAGATTTGTTGAATAATCCTCCATGTTTTCATGCTTCCTTATGGTTTATATATACATAGGAAACTGTCACAAAGTTATACAAAAACAAGAAATTCCGAAAACCATATGAACAAGCAATGAGTTACTGCTCAATGGTATTACAAGATCACTCTTGGCCTTGGACAGAGAAACTAGATGCTCTTTCTTGTCTGGAAGCTCAAGACTTGGCGAACTTTGTTCCAATGTTGTTATCGAGGACATTTGTTGAGTGCTATATAGCAGGTCTCAACAATATTTGCTTTCTGGTCCTTCTTTCTTTCTCTGTTCGTCGTTGTAGTATGTCAGTGAAATAATTAGAAACTCGTTTCAGGAAATGTTGAGAAGAGCGAAGCTGAGTCAATGGTCCAGCATATTGAAGATGTTCTCTTTAATGACCCAAAACCTATCTGTCGTCCTCTACTTCCATCCCAGTTCCTGACAAGCAGAGTTGTAGAGCTCGGAACAGGGGTGAAATACTTGTACCATCAAGAAGGCTCAAACCCCAACGATGAAAACTCTGCTCTAGTGCATTACATTCAGGTATATTTGCGACAAGATTAGTAGATCTTTTATTGGTCTCATCAACCAGTTTTTGCATGTCTTATAAACCTTTTCTTGTAGATCTTGGTACTTAGACAGTTAGACTCATCGTGAGTGTACAAAAGGTTTCTTCTTGTAGAGCTTGGTTTTATTGCTAACATGAATTTTTGTTTGCCAAGAACAGGTTCATCAAGATGAGTTTTCCATGAATATAAAACTTCAGCTTTTTAAACTTGTTGCAAAGCAAGCCACTTTTCACCAGCTTAGGACAGTCGAGCAACTTGGTTACGTCACTTCTCTTTCTCAAAGGTACATAAGTATTTATCATACGTTTGAATGCTCCTGAGTTCTCGCTGATACCATAAATAATTATGTTTCTGTGACACAGAAACTACTCTGGTGTCTATGGGTTACAGTTCCTTATTCAGTCTTCCGTAAAGGTACCAAACTGTCTTGCCTCTCTGCCACTCGGACTTTGCATAACCCAATCTAGTTAATGCATTGATCTCCTTGAGTTTGTTGTTAATAGGGTCCTGGACATATTGATTCAAGGGTCGAGTCACTAGTCAAGGATCTTGAGAGTAAACTTTTCAAGATGAGCGATGAGGAATTTAAGGTGAGAAGGCCCAACGAGATATTATTATATTTTGCTGGAACTAATTAAACATTGTGGTGCAAAGAGACATTCCCACTAACTGACATGACTTGCTCCTCCTCAGAGCAACGTAACAGCTTTGATAGACATGAAGCTTGAAAAACCCAAGAACTTGAACGAGGAATCCTGGTTTTATTGGGGAGAGATTCAAAGAGGGACGCTTAAGTTCAACCGCAAAGATGCAGAGGTTAATAGACAAAACACTTATCGCCAACTTATTTATTCCTAGCAATCTCTGAATTAAGAACCTTCTCGGATAGCGAGACTTCTTCAAAGATATGTTAACACAAGCTAAAGTTGGGGTTTGTTGTGTAAATCAGGTGGCTGCACTGAGAGAGCTAAAGAAGGCAGAATTGATAGATTACTTTAACGAATACATAAAGGTTGACGCACCAAAGAAGAAATCGCTGAGCATATGTGTATATGGCAACCAGCATTTGAAGGAAATGGCATCTGACAAAGAGAAAACCCGATTACCACTCGTAGAAATCGAAGACATTGTTGGTTTCAGAAAGTCTCAACCTCTTTACGGTTCGTTGAAAGGATGTAGCCAGCTGAAACTGTGATGAGATACCAATTCTTTTCAAGAATACACACACACCAAAAAAAAAACACTCATACCAAAATATGACATCTTATACTTGAAAACAGAGTTTATAGCTATTGTCGAGCAAAGGCAAGAATGAAACTTTACCTACCGAATCATTTTGTTGAAATCAATTAATCCAATATGCCACTACCTCATGCTTATTTATTCTTTCACTTTGACCTACTGCAAGATACAGTTGTTGAACATTGTGGAATTGTGGAGGATCTTTAATAATTTTCTAGCAAATCGCATTTGTTAAATCCACAATTGGGACAGCGAAGATGTTGTTTACACTCTTGTCCAAAATCGGCGGAATCATTGTTTTAATCTCCAGAATATCCGGATGTGGTTCAATTCAACGAATGATGATACAAGTTTGATATGTTCTTAAGAATCCCACAATATATAATAATATACTTTCACATATACTAAATTGCAACTAAAATTAGAATAATTTGGCTTTAATCTCAAGTTGAAGTATTTAATATCCCCCAAAGGGTTAATAAAAAGTCTTCCGACCATAAATAAATTTAGAGGTTAAACCAAAGATGCGGCAACCTAATACGACCGACCGAACAGAGTCAACCAAAAAAAGCAATTGAATACAAGAAAATGAATGAAATCAATTTATCATCAAAATCAAATTATCCCCAGAAAATTTTGGAATCTGGAGATGATTGAATAGTATCACAAATCCTCTCTCAAGAATATATATAGTTTTCTCAATAATAATTATTAAAAAAAAAAAACAACAACCAAACGCTCATGAAATCTCTCTCCCACACCAATGTTTTTGTTGTTCTAAAAATAAATGAATAGATTCAAACAACAGAGAATAGCAAGAGATCCCTGGCGTCATCATAATGAGAAGATTTGACACCGCAACCAACACCAGAAGCTCCGGATCCGGTCGAATCTTGACCCGAACCCAAAACCCCACCACCTACGATTAAATCTTTGACTCCGTGCTGGTGATGTCCGTCGGACGGAGGATGGTAATAGAGACGAGCCGTCTGAGGACAGTGTGAATGAAACCTCGCCGCGATTCTCACACCGACGTCCAGCATCTCCGTGTATTTCCCCATTTCCTTGAAGAATCTATCGTTTCGTTTCTTCTCCTGTAATTTTTTTTCTTTTTCCTGCTCTTCTTTCTCTTTCCTCGTGAAGAGAGAGAGAGAGAACGACGGAGACGATGATGAGAGTTTTGCAAGTCGCGTTCAATTTATAGGAGGTAGGAATAAAAGGTGAACGAGTCTCCGCTTTTCTCCTTCCTAAGGGTTTTAATATTGCTCCCTTTTATTTTATTCTATTTTGTATTTGCCCCTTATCTCTATTTTAATTGCATTAATCTCCTTGTAATCTTACCACCATAACTCAATAGTTTATGAAAATTTATTATTATATAAATCTGTAATATAGATATGTAATAATTTGTGCCAGATGGAGACTAAATTATGGTAAGAAAGTGCAATTTATTAAAACGTTTAGGGATTGAATCTTTATTTATAAGAGTATAGGGTCGAAATTAGGTGAAACTAAAAAACTAATTCTTAGCTGTAAATTAAACGTTTTTTTAGTACAAGGAAGGGAATCAGTTTAGCGTTTCTTCTCAGTTTCCTTTTCATTTCTTTTTCTATTTTCTTGATTAATAAATTTATTTCACGTTTCCATATTGAAAAAATTTATATCCGCGTCAGTGTGGGTCGTCACTAATACCAAACAGTCGCCGCGTATTTTTGACTGCGGCAATACCGCAGAAGGCGCTTGAAAAGTAAGCGTTTACTTTAAGCAATATTTCTCTCGATGGATGGACGGACAATATCATCGACTCTTTTGGACTTTGTTTTAAAACCTTTTGGACTTTTTAAATTGTAACGTACGAAAATTTTAATGTTTGAAACTCATTTTTTCTTACATCTTAGATATTTCAAACTTAATTACATCATATGACACGTTCCATTATGAGCTTACATTTGTCATAACAAAAATTCACAATTGTCACCTCACTTGATTCATATATACGTCAGGTAGCTTTTATAATTTGTATCAGTTTTAGTGTTTTACAATCTAAAATCCTTTACTAGTATATTTGTATTTTGTAATATATACGGATATACTTTTACATCCTTAATATAATTTTAACCCTTATTTAATATGCTTAAATATGATATATCTAAAAACTTTGATTGAACTACTTTTTAACAGCACTTTAATTAAACTATATATGAGAACAATTAAAGTAAAAATATTCCCTAATATTGATATAAATGTGTAAATTTTATATATTCAATGACTAAAATATACATAAGCAAACAACCATGATGTTAATCATGTTATACATCATGCACCGAAATTAGTAGACAATGATACATTAAAATTTGATTATTTTACCCTATTTCTTTCATTATTTTGATTAATCCGATATTAGTATTATTCATTATTTCTCTATCCCCTTAGTAAGATATCTATATATACATTTCCAAAATCACGTATTAGATTAGTAACTATATATAAGGTTTCATCAACCCATATTCTTTAGAGACATTCTCTAAAATACCACCATTTTTGTTTTGAACTTTTAACAGCTCAAAAGAAAACCAAGGGTGAGGCCTTTTAACAAAAAAAAAAAAAAAAAAAAACCAAGGGTGAGATTTACACAAGCAAACAACCATGATGTTATTTATAAGTTTATAAACCTCAGTTCTATATTTTATAGTTGTTTCAGTTATTTCTCTGCATATCTAACAGACCCACCTCTTCTATAGAGCGACCGTTTAAGACCATATACATATCTAGCTATATATGTTATATATTCCGGTTATAGTTTTTGCTTTCCTAATCCATATCAGGATCACATCAAACTGTATAACACTAAATCGTGGGAATGGGGGTATAAGCTTTACCTGCCTCCGGCATTAGTGTCTTAAGTTTTCATGCAATCTACAGAAAGTAAAGAGGCAAAGATCAATGTAAACTACCTTGCAGAAATTGTTAGAATTTTAGTATATCACAATGAAGGATATGAAAGTTGAATTTCATACCTTGTAAATAAACGGATCAATTCTTCCTCCTGTGCCGAACCTCTTCACTTCCTTCATCTTCAATAACCTGAACCACCAATATATAAAGTTCATAAGGTTGCGATGATTTGATCACTACTATAAGTCTATAGCTATCTTCTATCAATCCTCGCATGCATAAGAGGCTTGAAACCTGAACCTTGTATAAAACGTATAACAAGTGTGTGTGTGTGAGAGATAACTAGAGTATACATTCTGAGAGCTTTACTGGTATCTGGACTGTCACCGAGAATCTGACGGATATGAACTTCAGAAGAAGATTCCGAGGAAAGAAACTCCAAGATATCTCTGGCTCTACGGCGAATAGAACTTGACCTGCTGCTACTTTCTTTCATCTTCTTCCTTTCTCCTCTTAGCTTCTCATTGCTTTTCTGATCCCCGATTTTGATTCTGCTTTCTATGCTGGAAACCTCGCTTGAACCAGTTGAAAGACACGATTCATCTTTGGAATCAACAGAGGATGTCGAGAGAAGATCACACGCAGGATTCATCACCGAATGTGTTGGCTTAGAACTGAAGGATCCCCAGATCACCTGAGATCGGCGTTTTCTCGCTGTCTGCATAATTCAGGCAAGTAAAATCAAATTTCACACCCTACGTACTCAAAGTTTTGTTCTCTGAAATATATGTTTCTTACTAAAATTAGAGCATCACAACAACATGGAATTCGAAATTTCAAATTCCAGAAATGATCTGTATCTGGTAAAATAAGCAGTAATTCAGAATAGTAAGAACAGAATTAGGAGATTTAAGAGCTAGCCATTATCATTCAGGTGGAGAACGAAGCATTAACAACCTAGCTCAAATGGAAGATATCAACATATGAAATCCAGAAGTTTCTAATCAATCAAATTCCTCAGTAGTTAGAATATGTTTAGAACCAATTCAGATCCAGAGAGCAACCATAACGAGCACTCTGAAACAGAGAAGTGATGAAGATTGAAGAGTTTCGCACCTTGAAATTCACGAGTTGAAACGGATCTCCAGTATAATTGATTATGAATCCACGATCTTCAACCTTCCCAAACGAACCATCGCTGGACAAAGCCGAACCACAAGATCTCGATCCGCTAGACCCAAACATCAAGCTCAGGTTCGAGCTTCCTTCGTCACACCACTTCCTCACATAGCTCGATTCCTCTACAGATTCCGACCTAATAATCACCCAAAACGATAATCTTAACCAAACGAGGAAGATAACACAGATCTGAAACCGCGAACCTCACAATTAGCACAGAAATTGAAAACGATTGTGTTATGCGAACCTCGTAGGAGAGAAGAACACAGGTCCATAAGAAAGGTGAAGAAGAGATGAAGCAACCGCTTTCTCCATCGGTGAAGGATAGTCCGCCATGTCTGAGTTTTTCTTCCGAATGAAGCTTTCTCTGAGCTTCTCTAATGGCGCGATGATCTGATTTTGTTTGATTTTTGAATTCCTCTTTATCTCTCTACCCCTCTCTTTCTCACTCGTCCTCTGTTATATAACAGGGAATAAAACGGAATGATGATTTGATGAGCCCATATATTAGGCCCATTAAAGGCCTTATGGTCCATTCAATCCTCTATCTCCTTCCTCGTCATCGTCTTCCTCGCTTCGTCGACGCATACTGTAAATTAAAAATCTCCACGAAGCTCGGTTTGATATACTTAACTGGGCATTTCTGAGGAATATCTTGATGTCATGTACACTTGCCTTCACTTTTTCTATCCCGTTTCCTTCTCAACCGGTTCCATTTTCCCGCCATAACCCTCCCTATCTTCTTCGCGCCACATCAACCTCTGCAACAATAGCCGTTGATGGCGTACCTTCGAAACTTATCTCTCAATCACGATCTCCGGAGTGGTGGATTGATTCCCTCCGGTCGAAAGTTCGAGCCAGTTTGCTCCGTGAAGCTGTTTTGACTTACATTGACATGATTGTTTTGGGTATTAAACCCGATAAATTTGCGTTCCCTGCTTTGTTGAAGGCGGTTGCGGATCTTCAGGATATGGATTTGGGGAAACAGATTCATGCTCATGTTTATAAGTTTGGGTACGGTGTGGATTCTGTGACTGTGGCTAATACCCTTGTAAATTTGTATAGAAAGTGTGGAGATTTTGGTGCTGTCTATAAGGTGTTCGATAGAATCTCCGAGAGAAACCAGGTCTCTTGGAATTCTTTGATTTCTTCTTTGTGTAGTTTTGAGAAATGGGAAATGGCGTTAGAAGCGTTTCGGTGTATGTTGGATGAAAATGTGGAGCCTAGTTCATTTACCTTGGTGAGTGTGGCTCTCGCTTGCTCTAATGTGCCTATGCCCGAGGGATTAAGACTAGGTAAGCAGGTTCACGCCTATAGTTTGAGAAAGGGTGAACTGAATTCGTTTATTATCAACACATTGGTGGCTATGTATGGTAAACTGGGAAAATTAGCATCTTCCAAAAGCTTGCTTGGATCTTTTGAAGGTCGTGACTTGGTCACATGGAACACTTTGTTGAGCTCGTTATGTCAGAACGAGCAGTTTCTTGAAGCATTGGAGTATTTGCGCGAAATGGTCCTCAAAGGTGTTGAACCAGATGGCTTCACTATTTCAAGTGTTCTTCCTGTTTGTTCACACTTGGAGATGCTTCGCACAGGGAAAGAATTGCATGCCTATGCTTTAAAAAATGGATCATTGGATGAAAATTCTTTTGTTGGTAGTGCTTTGGTTGACATGTATTGCAATTGCAAGCGAGTGTTGAGTGCCCGTCGAGTATTTGATGGAATGTTTGATAGAAAGATTGGTCTTTGGAATGCTATGATCACTGGGTATGCCCAGAACGAGCATGACGTGGAAGCATTGTTGCTGTTTATTGAAATGGAACAAAGTGCTGGGCTTCTGGCTAACACAACCACAATGGCAGGTGTTGTTCCTGCGTGTGTCCGTTCTGATGCTTTCTCTAAAAAGGAAGCTATACATGGATTTGTTGTGAAAAGAGGTTTAGATAGAGACAGGTTTGTGAAGAATGCACTGATGGATATGTATTCTAGGCTGGGAAAGATTGATATCGCCAAACAAATATTCAGTAAAATGGAAGATAGAGATTTAGTTACATGGAACACAATGATTACGGGTTATGTATTCTTAGAACGCCATGAGGATGCGCTTCTTGTGCTACACAAAATGCAAAACCTTGAAAGGAAAGCGAGCGAGGGAGCTATTCGAGTTGGTCTGAAACCTAATTCCATCACTCTGATGACAATCCTCCCCAGTTGTGCTGCACTATCAGCATTAGCAAAAGGAAAAGAAATACATGCTTATGCCATCAAGAACAATTTGGCGACTGATGTGGCTGTAGGTAGCGCTATAGTTGACATGTATGCAAAATGTGGATGCCTACACATGTCGAGAAAAGTATTTGATCAGATTCCATTTAGAAATGTTATTACTTGGAATGTAATTATAATGGCTTACGGGATGCACGGAAACGGGCAAGACGCCATAGATCTGCTAAGAATGATGATGGTTCAGGGAGCTAAACCAAACGAGGTTACATTCATCTCAGTATTTGCAGCTTGTAGCCACTCAGGCATGGTGGATGAAGGATTAAGGATATTCTACAATATGAAAAACAACTACGGGGTTGAACCTAGCTCAGATCATTATGCATGTGTTGTAGATTTGCTTGGAAGGGCTGGCAGAGTTAAAGAAGCATATCAGCTCATGAACATGATGCCTCTTGATTTCGACAAAGCTGGAGCTTGGAGTAGCCTCCTTGGTGCTTGTCGGATTCACAATAATCTAGAAATTGGAGAAGTTGTTGCTCAGAATCTAATTCAATTGGAACCAAAGGTAGCTAGTCACTATGTTCTACTAGCCAATATATATTCATCAGCAGGCCACTGGGATAAAGCAACAGAGGTAAGGAGAAAAATGAAAGAGCAAGGCGTGAGAAAAGAACCTGGATGTAGTTGGATTGAGCATGGTGATGAAGTACATAAATTTGTAGCCGGTGACTCATCTCACCCGCAGAGTGAAAAGCTCCATGGATATCTCGAGACCTTGTGGGAGAAAATGAGAGAAGAAGGATATGTACCTGATACATCTTGTGTGCTTCACAATGTAGAAGAAGATGAAAAAGAGGTTTTGCTTTGTGGACACAGTGAGAAGCTAGCAATTGCCTTTGGAATACTTAACACATCGCCGGGTACAATTATTAGGGTGGCTAAAAACCTCAGGGTTTGTAATGACTGTCATCTTGCAACAAAGTTTATCTCAAAGATTGTTGACAGAGAAATCATTTTGAGAGATGTTAGGAGGTTTCATCATTTCAAGAATGGAATTTGCTCCTGCGGAGACTATTGGTAAAAGAAAAGCTGCACAGAGATGTCCCTTCTTTCTTCATTGTATATCTTGTAAGTGTTATATTTGTATAATACACAGTTGAAACTTCTTCACTGCATTTGAGGGAAAAGCACCAACGAATGCTGCAGAGTAAGAGACACTAACCAAAGTGTAGTCGGCTAAAGTATACACACTTTGTTTTGTTTCACATTGGAGGCTAAAGTTACTATCTTTGGCTTGCCCAGATAATATCACTATTCGATAATGAAATCAATCAAGCAAATGAGCTGTGTTTATCTGAGTTCTTGATAGAGAAAACAAGAACTCAAAACACATTGAGACATCACTACAAATCCTATTGACCACATGATTTTTGATAAACTTATTTCAGGGGGTAAACGTGGGAAAGTTAATCAAATGTTTAGGGATATTCTTATGTGGACATTAGACCATCCTGAACCTTCAAATTTGATGATAATCGCTCAAACCATCTCAGAAGACAAGATGATCCGCAGAGTTCTTGGCGCTTTGAAATCGAGAGATTACAATGTTCTCCTAGTAAAGCCTGATATACTCTCATTAGAATTGCCACTTCCTCCTTCTGTACGCTCAGTATGGTATTGGAAAAACCTATTTGGTATAGGAAAACCTATCGACCAAAGCAGTAGCTCACAATGTAGTGACAGTACTTCCGCTTGTAGCGACGAAAGCTCACAAGATGTTGCAAGTAAGCAGAGTTTAGCAGAGTAAACGTCGGGTAGATCTCAAGGTTTAGCAGAGTTTTATCCTCTGATTGAGTGTCGATTTTTTTAGAAGTATGAGCTTTATTTTTTGTTAAGGCCTGGGATGTCTCTTTGATCTCTAATGTGGGTGTGTACTTAGAGCAGAATCCTCTTTGTATTTGTTAGCGTCCGGAATTTTCCCAAGTCCCTCCCTGTATCCCCCACATTTAACCTATCTAACAATCAATATATATCCATTATTTTGGTACATCCACCTTTTAGAATTTAGATTGAGCTTTGAAGTATGTGTATAGACATTCAATGTGCAAAGAACGATAATAAAACTACTATATGAGGAAACTTACTCTGGTCTTAACAAAATTATTGGTATTAAATGTAATTATTGAACGCAATAATATTTTTCTTCCACATCTTGAAATAGCAAATGTGTTATTATCTATCAATCTATCATTAAGGCAAGAAATGAAGATAATTTAAACAAATAAATTAGATAATGAATTATTACTTTATCTTCCATGTGATGGCTTGTCCGACCCTACAGATCAGCTCTTTTAGTTGCTGTCTCTTTGTGCATAGAACTCATAGAAGGATAGAATAGATCAGTGATGTGGGCATTGTAAGTTCAGTAATCAAACGTAAACAACAAACAAAAGAAGGGAAAAATATTAAGAAACTCCCAAAAAGGGGAAGACATTGACCTCACAGCTGATCGAACGACTTAGCTTTCGCAGAGTTTGCATTGGATTGAAGCATAAGCAACCTCCAAATTCCGACAACAACCGATTTGCAGAGTGTATCTGTTTGTTTGTCCTGGAAAGGAAAATTTACACTAATCTTCTATTGTGTGTGATCTTAAATTCGTCATCTTTCCTTCTGGGTTTTGGAGGTTTTTAGTTGCTTGAATCTGATGTTGGTTCAAGATCGTGTGGCTCCTAAGCCACCAAAATCTCGGATCAGAGAGCTTCCTAGCCATCGATTCGTTGAACCCAAAAACCTAGATTTCTCGTCGTGGGTTTCAGACAATGTATACAGAATCGTAATCTTGTTCCTCTTCATCGTCACTGTTGCTGCCTTCTTCTTCCTTTACAACACCACCGACACTGCTTCTCTCCTTTGTTTCCAATCCCAATCAACTCAATCGATTCAATCTCTCACTCGTCCTCAAATCAACTGGAACTCGATCCAGATCGTCTCCGACAAAACCTCACCTTACTCTAGTTTCCGTACGGAGAAATGGATCGTTGTGTCGGTGACCAAGTACCCAACGGAGGAGCTCAAGGGTTTGGTGAAGATCAAAGGATGGCAAGTTCTAGCGGTCGGAAACTCTTTAACTCCTAAAGATTGGAATCTCAAAGGTGCGATTTTTCTATCTCTAGATGCTCAAGCTGAGCTGAATTACCGGATTTTAGATCATCTGCCTTATGATACGTTCGTACGCAAAAGTGTCGGTTACTTGTTCGCGATTCAGCACGGTGCAAAGAAGATCTACGATGCGGATGATCGCGGTCAAGTGATTGATGGAGATCTTGGGAAACATTTTGATGTAGAGTTAGTTGGAGAAGACGCTAGGCAAGAACCAATCTTGCAGTATAGTCACGAGAACCCGAATCGAACTGTGGTGAATCCGTATATCCATTTCGGGCAAAGATCGGTTTGGCCTAGAGGTTTGCCATTGGAGAATGTAGGCGAGATCAATCACGAAGAGTATTACACTGAGGTTTTTGGTGGTAAACAGTTTATACAGCAAGGGATTTCAAACGGTTTACCCGATGTTGATTCTGTGTATTATTTCACTAGGAAGACTACTTTTGAACCGTTTGATATCAGATTTGATGAGCATTCTCCTAAAGTGGCGTTGCCTCAAGGTATGATGGTGCCTGTGAATTCTTTCAACACGTTGTACCATTCCTCAGCGTTTTGGGGGTTAATGCTTCCTGTTTCGGTTAGTTCCATGGCTTCGGATGTTCTTAGAGGTTACTGGGGACAAAGGCTTTTATGGGAGCTTGGTGGTTATGTTGCTGTTTATCCACCAACTGTTCACCGGTATGATCGAGTCGAAGCTTACCCTTTCTCCGATGAGAAAGATCTCCATGTCAATGTTGGTCGTTTGATCAAATTCTTGCTTGCTTGGAGATCAGATAAGCATAGGTTCTTCGAGACCATTCTTGATTTGAGCTTTGTTATGGCTGAACAAGGGTTTTGGACTGAACTCGACGTTAAGTTCACAGCTGCTTGGCTCCAAGATTTGCTTATGGTCGGTTACCAACAGCCTCGGTTGATGTCACTTGAGTTGGACCGCCCACGAGCAACCATCGGTCATGGAGATAGGAAAGAGTTTGTTCCTAGGAAATTGCCTTCGGTTCACCTCGGGGTCGAGGAGATAGGCACTGTGAGCTCTGAAATTGGGAATTTAATCAGGTGGAGGAAGAATTTTGGGAATGTAGTGCTTGTAATGTTCTGTAACGGACCTGTGGAGCGGACTGCTCTTGAATGGAGGTTACTTTACGGGCGGATTTTCAAAACGGTGGTCATTTTGTCCTCTCGGAAAAACTCAGACCTTTACGTCCAAGAAGCTAAACTCGATCACATTTACAAGTAACTAAAGAAACTTGCCTATAATCTCGGTTTTCAACCTATTCTTTTCCAGAGTGAGCTTTCTAACTGTAATTCTGTTATACACATTTCAGGCGGCTACCAAAGATATTTGATCGGTACAGCAGTGCAGACGGGTTTTTGTTTGTTGAAGATGATACAGTTCTTAATTACTGGAATTTACTTCAAGCTGACAAAACTAAGCTCTGGACTACAGACAAGGTACTGCTAAAGTAGCTAGTATCTCGGGATAAACATACTGTTTGGTTTCGATTTGAGGAGTTTTGGTTGTATTCGGTTTGATCACATAAGAGTCTTTTTTATAGGTAAAGGAGTCATGGACAACAGTGAGACCATCTGGGAATGCCGATTGGTATTCGGTGCAGGTGAAATTAGTAAAGAAGATTGTCGGGACAATGCCGGTAAATTTCCAAGTCAATTACAAGGAAGCCACAAAGAAGAACGATGACACAGCCTTAACGATGTGCAGCTCGGAAGTGTTTTATGTCCCTAAACGTTTTGTCTCAGATTTTACAGATCTTGTTAATCTTGTGGGAGATATGGATTTGCATTATAAAGTGGCTGTGCCTATGTTCTTCCTATCGATGGATTCGCCTCAAAATTTTGACCCGGTTCTAGGTTCAATGGTATATAAGTCAGAACCAGCTTCGTTAAACACTTCTTTGAGTTTGTATTCTGCGGAAGCACCTGCGGTTCATCCATGGAGCATATCGAGCGAACAAGATTTCATCAAATTGGTACGGGAGATGGCGGAAGGTGATCCGCTTCTGATGGAACTGGTATAGTGATTCAAAAATATGAATAGTAGATGCAGCAATGAAAGGATGTTTAGAAACAGATTTACCCATTTGCGTTATACAAAAATCGCTTCATCAAATTCTTTTTGGTTCTTTCCTTGATGTAATTTTGCCAATGTAATCATATAAATTTTCATCATTTAATATGTTGTGAAGATGAAAACTGAAAAGATCACTCATTGACTTGAACAAGACTGTGTTATTGTGACGCTTATGTTATGCGCATTGCGAGAACGGCAAAACACAAAGGTTCCAATTTCCAAACATACTGTAGGAGATACCATGTCATACAAATATATTATCTATCTACTCGGTGTTATTTTTTTTTATTTTTTTTGACGGCATCTACTCGGTGTTAGTCGAGTGACCTTATCATGTATCCTGATGGCTGATGTAAATTTATTTATATGACGAATCTACTATAGTATTCTAATATCCATTTTTTATAGTTTATACACATCGTTGTCAGATGCTTCGACCAAGCAACAAAGAAAGTATTAATTTAATAGGCCAATCAATAACATTTTACATAATTAGATCATATATTCAAAAGCATATATGGGATATGTTGACTGCATGAGCAATGAAAACGACCAATTTCTAAATTTTTTTCTTTCTTTCTTTTGAGTTGTCATTGTATTGCCTTCATGATGAGTTGGCTTTTTGCTTCTTGATGTTTGTATACTTCTCTTTTCTTGAGAAGACGATATGGTATTTATCGTAAAGACCTTTGGGAGGTTAGCACTTAGCAAAAAGTAAATAATATTATTGGGGTGAGGTAAGTTGGTCGGCACCGGCGGAGATCTGGTGACCGCCATCATCTCTGCACGTACCACTCTACTTCTGTTTTCTTAATTATAAAAAGCCTAAAACGAATATATAACATGTACGACGATATATACCAAAAAAAAAATATTTATATTCTTGTGCGAGTGGCTACACAGAGCCAGGAAAAAACGAAATATTATTGTAGTTCTATGATGATACGCAAAAAAAAGTTCATATGCATAAACGAATAGGGAGCTACAATGACAATGTAATTCTTTTTAAAGATTTTGTATTGTGTTATGCCTATTCACATGCGAAATGGACCCAAATGTCGTCTTGAAATGATGATGGCTTTTTTAAAATAATAATTGATATATTGTTATAATATGTTACAAAGTTTGTGTTTTATTCCTTTTTCTGTTCATGTTCGAGCTTTTTAACATCGTGTGCCAAGTTCAATCTCAGCATGATACAGTATGTGATTTTCATCTTCTTTTTACTTATATTTTTAATAAACATCGCTCTGAAAGGATCAAAGACATAAAACGGAAAATTAACCTATGCGCTACCAAAAAAAATGGAAAATAGTTACAAGGTTAAATAAAATAAAAAAAGGAAAAACCATAATTTTTGTTGTATCTTTAAAGCTCTTGCCTGAATAATAATTCATCATAATAGAGTCACACACTCGTCTTCTTCTTTCCTCAAACTTATATGTCTCTCCTTCTTCGTCTTCCTCGCCTCGTCTACGCATCACTGTAAAATCATAAATCTCCCACGCAACTCTGTTCTATTTGGATAATAAAGCAAAAGAAGAATATAAAAGGTACATAGACAGTGAGAGACGCTTATAACACAGCGCACGTCTCCTTAGTCCTTCCTTTCAATTATTCAATTTTGCTTCCCCCTTTCTTTCTTTCTTCTTCTTCTTCTTCTTCTTCTTCTTCTTCTTTGTTTTCATGTTTTCTTATTCCTGATCCCTCTCCATCTCTTTTTCTTTCACAGTGCTACTCAAAGATCTGCCTTTTCAGGTATGTGGGTTTGTATGGATCAGCTGATTTCGATTCAATTCTCGTTTTTCCTTCTTCTTTCCCTGCTCTCATGAATTGGATCTCTGTGTTTTTTTACTTGAATCTGAGTTTCTCCTTCTGCTTAGTGCTTGATCTCTGCTTAATTTGTCTGTATTGTTTCCTCTTAATTATCTAATTAGTTGACATTCTGGCTTCTGTTCAATCTATTCCTGGAAATCGCTTTACTTAAGATAAGAGTTTCTCAAAACTAAGACTTGTAGAGCCATAGCGGATAAGAAACCAGAGGGGAACACTTTGACGAACTACACGGTACACTGATCATTGGAAATTTTCTCGATCTCTAGCTGACCCAAATCTTCAAACCAATAAAAGAGCTCCATACAACAAGATTTTTGTAGCTGTGTATGCTACTTCAAAGGTCGATCACAATTTCATGTCTTGGGAGTTGTCTTTTGAAGCAAGTGGTTTGTGGTCACTATAACATGGCATCCTCGAGCTCTACATGGATATTATGTGTTAGGAGTTTAAAAAGTTTTATAGCCTTGCCACTGTATTTTATTGGATTACTACTGTAATTTGGTGGCGGGGATATTCATAGGAAGGTTTGATTCGATATTCGTAGAAACTTATCTTATAAGAGTTCATAGAGTTCACAACCGAGCTTTTTGCAAGACATGTGAAACTCCAAGTGACAGCAAAACTCCAGTTTAGAACCTCTCTCCTTTAGGAAGCACAATATCTTGAATTGTTTCCAGGCAATAATCAATTGTGGGAGAGAACTGAGTATTCTTACATATGATTGTCATTTTGAAATTCAGTTATAAAAGCCTGACCTTTGTGTTGCTATTTAGTGATCTATAGGGTCCTATCCAATCTCTTACCCTCTTGTTTTTTTCTGCTTGCTTTATGTTTTTTGGCAGGTGGTTTATGTATTTTTCACATAAAGGAAGAGATTGACCATTGTATACAAAATGTCTGGGTCGACTAAAGTACTGGATCCTGCGTTTCAAGGAGTCGGGCAGAAACCGTATCCTTTCACAATATTTATTTTCCCGCTTTGCTTTAATATTAGTGTAGGTGGAGCAATATAATTGTTTCCTGCTGATGAGCGGAAGTACAGAGAGTAAAATGCAATTTCTTGTGGGTATTGCTTTTGTATACACTAGTTTGTTGGAATTATTGAATGTTTTACTGCTGTCTGGAATGTTGAACTTAACATTTCTTAGAGGTACTGAAATCTGGAGAATCGAAAATTTTGAGCCAGTCCCAGTGCCGAAGTCTGAACATGGAAAGTTCTATATGGGAGATACTTACATTGTCTTGCAGGTTTGGAACTTTTTCCACTGTTCTTCACCCCTTCTCAAAAAAAGATTATAAAACAATACCTTGCTATTAGCTTACAGAACAGAAGAAAATGTTTACTTGCCTGATCATATGTATAAAATTTATGCTTCTTTTATCTTTCACACTTATCGTCTTTATATGTGCAGACTACACAGAATAAGGGGGGCGCTTATCTGTTTGATATACATTTTTGGATTGGTAAAGATACTAGCCAGGTACTCTTTTCGGAGTTTTTAGCATGGAAGCATATATATTACGTTCTAACTTTTTGTGATTTGAAGACAAGTAAAGGTGAATCACCATTATTACTAATCTGTGAATAATAATTTCAGGATGAAGCTGGAACAGCAGCTGTCAAGACAGTTGAACTTGATGCAGCTCTTGGAGGCCGAGCTGTCCAATACCGTGAAATTCAAGGTCATGAATCTGACAAATTCTTGTCTTACTTCAAGCCTTGCATTATACCACTAGAGGGTGGTGTTGCTTCTGGATTTAAAAAACTTGAGGAGGAGGAGTTTGAAACCCGGCTGTATACCTGCAAAGGGAAACGTGCTGTCCACTTGAAGCAGGTTTCCTTTTCTGCAGATATTTGGAAGTGCTATATTCTCTTCTCATTAGTATTTACTAAGTGTATACTTATCTGTCTGCTTTTGTAGGTTCCTTTTGCTCGCTCGTCACTGAATCATGATGATGTGTTTATCCTGGACACCAAAGAAAAGATTTATCAGTTTAACGGTGCAAATTCAAATATCCAAGAGAGAGCTAAAGCGTTGGTAGTTGTTCAATATTTGAAAGACAAGTTTCATGAAGGAACTTGTGATGTTGCTATTGTTGGTAAGTTGTATTTGACGCATTGATAGTTACTTTGTGAATATTTTCTTCTTCACTGTTTTGGTCAGTTAATCAAGCCGTAGTTAAATGCTCAATTAAGTTCTTAAAGTGGTATAATTTAATGTGGTAACTCATGCATGTGTAACAATTTCCTTGCATAACAGATGATGGAAAATTAGATACAGAATCAGATTCTGGCGAGTTCTGGGTCCTCTTTGGGGGTTTTGCTCCAATAGCAAGAAAAGTTGCTAGTGAGGATGAAATTATCCCGGAGACAACTCCGCCTAAGCTTTATAGGTACTTAGCTTCCTTTTAATCTGCTCTATTGGTGTTCAGATGTTTTTTGCTCTAAACACTGTTGTAAATTAGTCATTTCGTTTTCAATAGTACTCATTTTATGCCTTATTTTATGAATATTGATTTATAGCTGCCCCCTTTTTTAGTATTGCTGATGGTCAGGTGGAATCTATAGACGGTGATTTATCCAAATCTATGCTGGAAAATAATAAATGCTACCTTTTGGACTGCGGTTCTGAGGTATTTATCTGGGTTGGCCGAGTAACTCAAGTGGAAGAGAGAAAAACTGCTATCCAAGCTGCTGAGGTATAACTAAAATCGGCCAACTTGCTTAGCCATAGAATATCTGAGCATCAGTTCTCATTTTTTACCTTCTTCTCCAGGATTTTGTTGCTAGTGAAAATAGGCCAAAGGCAACACGCATAACCCGTGTTATCCAAGGTTATGAGCCGCATTCTTTCAAGTCTAACTTTGACTCTTGGCCATCAGGCTCGGCAACTCCTGCTAACGAAGAAGGACGAGGAAAAGTCGCGGGTAAAGTTTTCTTTGATACTCCAATCATTAAAAGGAATGAGTGATCTCTTAGCCCTGACTTACTTTGGTACTTTGCTATTGTCTAGCATTACTTAAGCAACAAGGTGTTGGGTTGAAGGGCCTGTCAAAAAGCACACCTGTGAATGAGGATATTCCACCATTGCTTGAAGGAGGCGGGAAGTTGGAGGTCTTTTGTGTCTCCCAACTTGTTGTGCTGTTATTAGCTGAATCTTATTTGGTTATTTTCTTCTGAACTCATTAAGCTCATGTAATAGGTTTGGTACATTGATGGCAACTCCAAGACCCCTCTATCCAAAGATGATGTCGGAAAACTCTATTCTGGGGACTGCTATCTGGTCCTTTATACATACCATTCTGGTGAAAGGAAAGAAGACTACTTCTTGTGC